TGAGGGCTCAAAGGTCAAGCACATTCAACTGAGGTTTCCTGCGTTGCCCTACATGTACTGTGATTTCTCTGGATTCCCTGAATCTTTTCACAATATTATGTATGGTACTTGGTAAAAGACCTAAATTATTTGCAATTTTGCAGTGTGAAATGTGATTTTTGATTTGTTTGACACTTCTCTCGTGAAATTTGGCACGAAGTGGCGAGCCATGATCCAGCTTTGCTTGCAAAGACTGAGATGCTCCTATTATACCCAAACATAATACCTTGACCTATTACCAATTCACCTGCCTACTCTGAACTGTTTCAAACCAGATAACGTGGATATTCTATAACCTTTTCACTTTTATTTTGCTTCTGTCCCAACGTTTTTGGAGTGTGTTGCAGCCGTCAAAAACAATATTTGTTCATATTTACAAAATACATTTACGTTGGTCAGTGAAAACTTTGGAAATCTTTTCTTTGTACTTTTGTGAATTAAATCAAAGCTAAAGAGAATGAACAAAATGCAAAACAAATTGCATTTTACAAACTGTCCCAACTTCTCTGGAATTGGGGTTGTATATATACTGTGTATATATATATATATATATATATATATATATATATATATATGAATATATATGACATATGAATATGTCATGGAATATGAATATGGCATAAATAAGAGCTAAACTTTGCAAAGCCTAACGTGCCTGAAGTCTTTTTACTTTATTTATTAGGAAAGTCAGTGTCTTTTTCAGGTGTGGTGGATGTGCAATGTTGAAAGCAAAATACATACAGAAGGCTGTTATGAAGGCTTCATCAAGGCTGGTGCACTGGCACATGTCTATTCCATCTACTTTCACCACACTGAGCCCTCCTCCTATGATTGCCATTTTCCAGTCAGTATCCATCAGTTGTATGGTTGGAAAGGGTGTAGCAGGGTCCCCCTACATTAAAAAAAAAAAAAAATACAAAATTGAAAATGCTTTTCAAATTCATCAAATTTGAATAATAAAAATACAAAATTGAAAAAGCTTTTCAAATTCATCAAATTTTGTTACAGCCTCTTTGGCTCAGACAGTATAGCTACATACAGTGCAGAACTGCAAAAACAATTAGAAGGCTAATGTATAAGGTTCACAATATATGATGCATTTCATGTTCTTGTATAGACTGATAAATCTTACATTGTTTTCTAAAACCACTGTTTTAAGATTTTTAACATATGGGCTAAAAGTGTACAGAAGATGTTAATGATTTTTTTTTATTATACTCACTCCAGCAGGTGTCCTTAAGTATGGGTATTTTTTGAGTACATCCTCCACAGACATTCCTTCCATGTTTTCTCAAGGTCTCCAGGAGAATGTTCGTGCCATGTGGTCTTGGACAGTCGAGATGTCTGGATGTGTTTTCCGATACGCACTTTGTAGCACATTCACATGGGCCTCAACAGACATTGAATCCTCCCCAACACAAGTTTCCTTCATCAGAACAACAGAAACAGATAATGCTTAGACCATGACAGATAATGACAGCTAAGACAAATATGTGAAACATCTAAACACTTATTGAACACATTGAACTGCATAATTCTGGATGTGTTTTCCGATACTCACTTTGTAGCACATTCACATGGGCCTCAACAGACATTGAATCCTCCCCAACACAAGTTTCCTTCATCAGAACAACAGAAACAGATAATGCTTAGACCATGACAGATGACAGCTAAGACAGATATGTGAAACATCTAAACACTTATTGAACACATTGAACTGCATAAACATTAAGACGATGGTCAGGCAGTGAAAAAGTGGTGTATATTAGGCCTGTCGCAATAATCAATATATCGACTTATCGCGCATTATATGTACATGACCTCAATAATTTTTGGTGACGCAATATATCGTCCATTATATTTACTTAAAAATGAATGTCACTGTGTTTTGTACATTCCACTTGCGCCTGTGTCTTTTGCAGCTTCTCGTACATAACGTGGTGTAGTCATGAGGTGCTAGTTCAAATGTAAAAAATGCTTCTACAAACAAAGTTTCATCAGCAGATATGGCCTTGTTTAGGGATCTGTGCCTTTGTGCATACGGACATCTGACTGCCGAGTAGTGATTGTGTTTTTCAGCAATAGTGTGCACCCTCAATTTACAGAGAAGGTCAGGGAAAAATCTGTAGATGGAAAAATCTCCATACAAGTTCTTTGTGCATTTTTATTTTTTTCTACTTATTTATTGTTTATTTACTTTTTTATTCAGGTTCTGTAAGGTATCTAATATTTTGATACTTAATTTCCATGATCTAAATATTCTTAAAAATTTAAAGTTTGTTGTCATTTGGAAGTGTGTAGGCCTTCTTGCATTATTATGCGGTTACATTATGTTTATATATTCAGTGGCATAAAATGGTCTTTAAAATGACAATAATATGATAACTAATTAAATCTAAGCAAGATAAACTATTGGATTTTACAGTGCAGTTACTTTATATTAACAAGTAAAATAGACACAATGTATGCTAAACCTCTTTTAAAAATACCTCAAGTACACGTTATTAACAGCGTAATAGAACATCAATACATCCAATACTAGTGTAAAAGCGACTTTAGTGAGACATTTTATGCTTTCTTTTCTTCTATAAACCATCCACCTCTCATACACACAGGGGCATAATAATAATAATTTTCTATGTTCTCTACCTTACTTTTTGAGAAATGATTATTCTTGCAAAAGCCAGTAGATTAGGGATGGACTGGACTAAATCATCAATGAAAAATGTTACAATTTTTCAGGGGTGAGTGAGTGAGCATTATTTCACATGTTCCCCCTCCTTGGCTCAGCCATTTGGTGTGTCCTCAGACTACCGGGCATCTTGCATTAGACTCATTCATCCTGAAAAAAAGGTCCATTTGTCTTTTGAACATGTTGTTCTGCCCCCAAATGCCTTCTATTTCATAGTTGCATACTACTACCATTTTACTTTTTCCTTCCGGATAGCAGATCTTCAATATTCTTTTAAAGCTTCTTATTCATTGACATGTCAGCGCCATCTACTGGTTACTTCCATTCATACATTTCTGTAGAACATGGGTCTTCCAGGACCTCTTGGTGGATGGAGAAACAGTTATTTTATTAAATTTTAGGTCTGTTCTGTAATAAAAAAAATCCTTTTGAATTTTAATTGTACTTCATACACTATGTTCAAACGTTTGAGGTCAGTTAGACTTTTGAAAGAAATTAATATTTTTATTCAGCAAAGATGCATTACATTGTTAAAAAGTAACAAAAAAGACTATTATAATGTTACAACATTTTTTTTTAATCTAAAATAAATGCTGCTATTTCTATTCACCAAAGAATCTAAAAAAAAAAAAGAAGTTTCCACGAATATATTAAGCAGCACAACTGTTTTCAACATTGATAGTAAAATGATAGATACTAAAATGATTTCTGAAGAATCATGTGACATTATGGTTGCTGAAAATTCAGCTTTGTCATCGCAGGAATAACTTAACATTTTAAAATATAGTCAAACAGAAAATAGTTATTTTAAACGAATACTATTTAAGCCCTATTACTGGCTTTACTGTATATTTGATCAAACAAATGCAGCCTTTTGATTGGCAGTGTTTAATGTGGAGACAATTAAACATTTAGCTGAGCTTAAATGAACTTTTTCATTCTTATTCATATTTTTGTTTAACCCATATGTTCTCATATTTTTACAAAATCAGTTTTTGAGCAAACAATATTTAACAAACCCACTACAGTACCACCACAGACCCTCTATGCATCACAAACCTCCTTTTTAAGCCTGAAAAAAAATATTATTATTATTATTATTATTACTTGTTTTGTTTTGTTTGTGGTGACCTTATTATTTTGTTATTCTATGGGCAACACATTCATGACAGTATATGGTCAGTTCACCAAATATATCATTCCTTAGTGTCAAACAACTACTATTGCCGCATGTCTGCTGGTTGCCTGGTTTTCATGTTTCTCCTGGTTTCTTCATTTTGTCATCTGCAGCTTCCCTGAGCAGTAGCTCTCTGGCAAGTTCAGGCCTCCCCACGCAGGTCAAGCAGTGGGCCAGCATGGGGCATTTCAGAGTCGAGGAAGGAAGGCCCCGCCTCCACGCCATCAGAATGAGAAAGGACTGTTGTGAGAGGCTGTGAGGTGCACAGAGTCGAGCGAGCGATTTGGACAGTGGAGCGACGGAGACGGAGAGACATAACAAGAAGTGCTGCATCGTCCTCGGTGAGCTCATCACAGAGCCATGATAACAGCTCATCTGAGAGAGGCTCTGGAAGACAAAGACTGTTAGTGTGTGTCCACACCTCCATAGCCACATAACTTATTTGGCCGTTTTTAAATGATAGAAACTAGGAAAAGATTTGAGAATGATCTTAGCAAACCACAAAACAGGCCAAAATGGAAGAGCCTGGGTTGCACAAAATAGACACCTAAAGTTTAAGTGCAGTACATTTCACATATCTGCTTGGCTGTTCTGTATTACCTTCACACTCACAGGTTGAAAGACTGTTCTTGGACTCTAAATAACAAAAACAACAACTCTGACTTGTAAAGCACTGCAAAAACGTAGTATTTATTAGTCTTAGTGCTTCTGTCTTGTTTTCCAATACAGATAACTGAACATTTTCATATCAAGACCTAGTACTTAGTCATTTTGCTTCTGAAATAAATGGATCTTGATTCATGAACTGCTTTCTATTCTTTCCCCGCCATTAACGAGTTATCTCGTCTTTTACGAGAAAACGCTTCCCCGCCAAAGACGAGTTTTTACGGCTTTCCGTGTTTTCACTGTTATACACTCAGGGCGCTATTACACATCTTCTGAACGAGTACAAAACCTCCCGAACAAAAACACATGTGAACAGGATGGAAAAACCCCCAGTAGCCCCTCACTGCAGAACACAAGATCCAGGGGCCGTGGTTGGATCCATATCTAGGGGGTGGAGATTGGTAGGTTTAGGGGTGGAGATGGGTGGGTTTAGGAATCAGGGGGTGGAGATTGGTAGGTTTAGGGGTGGAGATGGGTGGGTTTAGGAATCAGGGGGTGGAGATTGGTAGGTTTAGGGGTGGAGATGGGTGGGTTTAGGAATTAGGAGGTGGAGATGGGTGGGTTTAGGTAGGCCTATATGTAAGGTGGGAGGAGTTGGATCTTGTGTTCTGCAGTGAGGACCATCTCGGAAAAACTAGCGATCTCACTCTGCATGACACCGGCCCTCCAGGACCGAGTTTGGACAGCCCTGTCTTATGTAAACAGATATATATGCAAAATAATGCGATAATCAGCAATAGACAGCATATAAATGAAAACTGCATAATGTTACGGAGTAAAATGTTGATGTCTGTGCAAGCTTTGGAGGTGTTGATGGAAGCGATTTACTGGATTTATGCTTTGATAATCGTACTGAATATTATCCAGATGTAGTTTTTGATAAAAAAAAAAATTTCTCAGCTTTTTGCTCAAAATTATGCATTTTTATGAAACCTACCTATATTCAAGTGTTTATAAAAAAAGATTAGAATAAAAAGGATTTTTTATGTTTAAAAGTAGAGGCTCTGATCTTTATTTTGGTGTACTGCATATTCAAATAGGCCTATTCATACAGCAAAATATACTGGAGGCCATCAAATTTTAGTGAAAATCATCAAAATCGCTGGGGGTGGCTGGCAACTTTTTTCAAGGAGTAGTTCACTTCCAGAATAAAAATTTACCAATAATTTACTCACCCCCATGTCATCCAAGATGTTCATGTCTTACTTTTTAAATTAAATAAAAATGAAGGTTTTCTCCATATTGTGGACTTCAATGGGGATCAACGAGTTCAACCCGCTGGCTAAAATTGAAGTCCATTATATGGAGAAAAATCCTGGAATGTTTTACTCAAAAAAACTTAATTTTTTTGCGACTGAAGAAAGAAACAGAAATTATCAGGAAATGTTCATTCTGGAAGTGAGGAAACAAGTCTTTACTTTATCTTGGGCAGAGTGAGCGGCAGCCGGCAGACAGGCTCTTCCAGAGGACAGTCCTTAGACATGGCTGCCCTGTCACCTTTCCAGACCAGCTGATCTTTGGTGACCTTGAATAAACTGATTACACCTTTGTAGTGAAGAGAGCTGTAGTTGCCGAAAGGGTCCACTTCTTTTCATTTCAAATACAGCCGGTTCCGCTTCTTTGGTTGTGGAATGTGATTATGTGTGAATCATTACCTGTGGGCTCTCCAACAGACACACACAGAAACAAGTACAGACACATATTGTGGATAAACTAAGATTCTAACACTAGACACTTGATTTAAAGAAACGAATACAAGATTTGTTATGTACCATTGCAAATGATGTTCCCGCTGAACCGGAGCAGCAGCTGTTCTCCCTCCTTCATGGAGAGTTCAGACGAGGGCTCTGGAGGGCCACAGTAATCCAGGGCCTGGAGTTCACACAATGCCCAGCTAACATCTCTGCTGGGCAGGGTGGCCACAACCACACTGCTGGGGTCCAGACGCTCATGATGGAGCACAACAGTCACCGAAAAGCTCTTTATAGCTTCTTCCAGATCTTCAACTAATGAAATCAGGTAAGATTTTACAGAGGACTGAAGGCGAAGGACTAGTAACCTGAGAACAGAGGAAGCAAAATGTTTCGTTTTTTTTTTTATTTAATACTTTTTTCACTTTTTGAAAATTCTTTAGATTACATTTTGGTTTGGTCACACTATACCTTTCATAGCCCTCTGTTAGCTCAAATCAGACCAAGCTGTTCTGTAGGTTCTTTATAGTGACTTTATCCAGAACCTTCCAACGGTTCTCTGTCCAGCCCAGCAGAGCCAGCTGCTCTTTATGAGTCTTTACTGAGGCACCATCAACCCTGTATCAGGAAAAAAAAAACGTATTTTATTTATGCACTAATTTCAACACCATTTTTTCCTCTTAAGCTCAGAATGTGACCTTACTTGATCTGCTGCGGTGAGAAAGTGCCTGATATAAGAGTGGGTCTGTCAGTCTCTTCTCCAGCTCTCCTCTTGTCAGAAATAGGAGGACAGGGCAGGATAAGTGTCATAGGTCGTCTGAGTTTAAGAGTTGATGGATGGCTTAGGTAAAGTAAGGGGGTTGAGGTGAGAGCAGCATGGTAGGAATCATTTTTGGGTTTCAGAGAGGATAAAACGAAGGTGTGCACTGGCTGTACCTAAGGAGACAAAAAGAAAGTCTACAATACACAGTATGCACTTAAGCTGCCTTTTCACTTTCTCTGACAAACAACAGATAGGAAGTCATTCATTCAATCGCCACTGGTTCCTTCCAGATTTTCCTATAGGGTTTTATAATGGGGTTTTTCAATTTATGATTGAAATAAAGCCTGTAGATGATTTTTTTTGTCCTACAACATAAACTGCACATAATCACACCCAAACTGTCCTATCTATTTACTTACTACAAACATACATTTAAAAAAAAATAAACATAACTTTAAATTCATGTTTTCAGTACAGCTGTGTAGTTTACACTGTAGAAAAAATGTCAAAATATCAAAACTGGTGGTAAATTTCACAAATGATTTTAAAGAAATGGTAAAAAAAAAAAAAAAAACGTCCCGGGCCCCCTATCCCTCTTCAGGCCCTTGGAATCGTCCTAACCTCAACCTACTATGCTTTTCTTTAAAGGGGTCATATGATGCTGCTAAAAAGAACATTATTTTGTGTATTTGGTGTAATGAAATGTGTTTATGCGGTTTAAGGTTAAAAAAACACATTATTTTCCACATACTGTACATTATTGTTTCTCCTCTATGCCCCACCTTTCTGAAACGCATCGATTTTTACAAAGCTCATCTGTCTGAAAAGCGAGGTGTGCTCTGATTGGCCAGCTATCCAGTGCGTTGTGATTGGTCGAATACCTCAAACGTGTGACGGAAATGTTACGCCCCTTGCCATATTGTGATACCTTGTCCCGGCCGGAGCGACGAGACAAAAGCATTAAAACTCATTATGAACGAGGCATTTGTTGCATCCAGTGGGGACATAATTACTGATATACACGGCGGGCTAGAGTGAGTGGAGGCCGGAGGCCTAGAGTGAGCAGAGGCCGGGGGCTAGAGTGAGCGGAGGCCGGAGGCCTAGAGTGAGCAGAGACCGGGGGCTAGAGTGAGCGGAGGCCGGGGGCTAGAGTGAGCGGAGGCCGGCTTGAGTGAGCGGCGGCCAGTGGGTTTGAGAACAGCGTGGCGGGTGGGCTTGCGGCAACCACATGTGACGACCCCAGGCTTCGTGTTAGAACGAGCCGTTTTAGGTAGGCGTGGTTGACTCTTAACTTTTATAAAGAATATCTCTTTGGATTTGAGACTGTAGTCTTTGCAACTTTACAGATCTTCTTTATGCACCAAGAGCTACTCCAAAGAGAAAGGATTTAAATCGCATCATATGACCCCTTTAATATCTTAGTGTTCATTTGTTTTGTGTGGATATATACATTCATTCATTATTATTTTTTTTATTTTATCACGGTGAATAAGTAATAGTTGCTTCACAACCAATTAGAAAGTTCTGAATGACGGCAACAAAATGCAAGATTCTTATGAAAAGGTTGTAGATAGTGGAAAGGTGGCTTATAAACAGCATCTTTGCAATACATTATATAATTTTAATAGGCAAATATCTCAGTGAGAAATGTATTCTTCTGGTAGAACACTTCTGCTCAAATTTGTAAAAGAACGACCTTACAGGATGTAACAATGTGTTCCAAGCAGACAGAAGGCTCACACTCCTCATCTTTGTCTCACAACACTAATTTTCTTTTCTTTTTCTTTTTCTTTTGGAAAATTGTCTTTCATTAAAGATATGGTTTACTTGTAAGCCATCACATACGGCAGTAATGTAGCCTGATTGAAAAGAAATTCTGAATGTACCGTCACTTGAGCGAGAACTGGTGCAGCAAAGGATCCAGGCAAGTAGTCAAGGCATATCCTGGAATCCAGACTGAGTTTAAGTGACAGTCCTGTCTTAGGGACTGTAAAACTCTCTGTCCTCAGACGGGAAAGAACTGCAAACACACCCAAAGTGTACACCCTCACCACTGCAAATGAACCCTGTGGAAAAAAGACAGAAAATACTCAGTGCCATCATGCTTTAACAGATATCATATAAGCTATAACTAGGCAGCTACAATAAAGATCAACCTTGTTACATTGCTAAAAATCTATGGAATGACTTCTGTTAGGACAAAAATAGAAAACCAGAAAACTGAATGAGCTTTATTACAAACCCTTTGTCCTCCATAGAAACCCTCAGTAGATGTAGGAGTGACATAGCTAACTCTTTGTTCTGGATCCACCACTTTCACGGTGATCTCTCTGTAGTTCCCTCGACAAGTCGCCTGGAACGGCACTGCTACGGTGAATGGAAAGGGACATTTTACATGGCTGGAGTTTTGTATGCGGAGAACAGTGCTGACTAGCTCCTCAGATCCTGACACCATGAGAGAACTCAGACCATCAACCACCTCACAAGTCAAGGTGTTTGTAACTTCTGATGGGGCGGTTATGTAGAATCTGGGAGACTCTGAGAATCTGGTTCTGTCTGCAAGTCTGCGAGTCACCAAAATACAATTGGATTCAGGATTATTTCCTCAGAAGTTTTATGCATACAGAAATGAATAATATTTTTTAATTTATTTAATATTTGAGTTTCACTTCATTTTGATGGTTGCTTTAACACAGGGGTGTCAAACTCAATTCCTGGAGGGCCAGAGCCCTGCAGCAACAATAATTAAACACACCTGATCCAACCAATCAATTCCTTCAGGCTTACTTGAAAACTACATGGTATGTGTGTTGGAACAAATTCTGCAGGGCTCCGGCCCTCCAGGAATTGAGTTTGACACCCCTGCTTTAACACATTCTGTTGACTATAAGTAAAGTTGCACCTACATATCTACTAACTCTTACTAGAGTGTTAGTAGAGTATTAGTAGACTGGTAGGGTTAGGGTTAGACTAAGTTGACATGTACTTGCAAAGTTATCTACTTATATAATCAGTAGAATGTCTGTTGGGAGATCATCACAATAAAGAGTTAGCAGATATTAAGCAGTCTACTAATTATGGAAGGCCGTTTCTTTTTTTTCCTCAAAATTGCCTGATGCAAACTCGCAATTCTGACTTTTTTTCTCAGAATAGTGAGATATAAACTCACAATTGCAAGTTATAATCTCAGAATTTAGTTTGTATCTCGCAATTCTGACTTTTTTTTCTCCTAATTGTGAGATTTAAACTCGCAAGTGCGAGTTATAAAATCCAGTTCTGAGAAGACAAAAAGACTGATATATTCTCAGAATTGCGAGTTTATATCACACAATTCTGATTTAATAATTCGCAATTGCGAGTTTATATCACACAATTCTGACTTAATAATTGCCAATTGCGAGTTTAGGCCTATATCACACAATTCTGACTTCAACAATTCTGAGAAAAAAGTCAGAATTGCGAGTTTGTATCAGGCAATTCTGAGAAAAAAGTCAGAATTGTGAGATAAAAAAATATATATAATTCAGTGGTGGAAACAGGCTTCTATAACTAATACTAGTCTAATGAGAGTTAGTCGACATGTCAGTGCAATGTTACTTATAGTCAACAGAATGCTCAAACGGGACCATCAAAATACCAATATTTGTTGTGTGAAATATTTTCTTATTTACTAATAAGAAACAAGCGCAAGTGAAAGTGCTGTAATGTGCTTTTTGGATGTTGTTGGACTGATCAACAGCATTTTTGAAACATAATTTCTCCACACCTGCCCATACATAATCTTACCCAACAGTTACCAACTTGAATCTTTGACCCTCTTCTCCTCTGCTTTTCTGTATTTCCTCTCCTTCTTTTTCTTCCCCCTCCTCATTATTCACGTTCAGACACTCCTTGAAGTCAGTCACCAAAGTTGTATAGAGTGAGTCTACTCTTGCTTCCTCATGTGAGCACTCTTTCCTGGTGCTTCTGTCATCCATATACACAGTACAGTGCTTCACTGGACCATTTGTTAGCCCTGTAGATGGTACATTTTCAAGATGGTGGTGTGCAAGTTGCTGGTCGGTGTACTAATGTCACATGATTCTGGTTTTATGTGGTCTGCAGTATCCAGAGATCCAGTACTGGTAAGGTGACGTCTCTCCCCACTGACTTCAGTAAGAAAAGCAATACCAGCGTCGAGCCTCCTGCTCATTACACTGAACTGGTTTACAATGGCGTGGATATCTTCCAGGACATTAAGAATGACATCAGTCACATGGTCTTGGTAAAAGTGGGATCCATAGGAAGCGT